TTTCAGATAAATTGAAAAGAATTAGCAGTACTTCTATCGAGGAATAAGTTTCCTCCGTCTAACTCCAATGGGCGTGCCACTGCATAGACTTAAATGCAAGGAAGGAGGATTAATAATGTTGCTGTAGGACTTGAATCCTAAACAATGACATTATCATGAGAGATGATTGATAGTTTAGAATCTGTTATCTTGGTAGCTTTTGAAGTTCGAACAGGTAGATATCAAAGAAATAGTGTTTATTCCCAAATAATATTGAACTCATCAACATAAGCCTACTTTCAACATGGGAAAAAAACAATTCCCAATTAGACTTCCGTATTCTATAGTTATAAAAGAAATCACATGGTCAGACACTTGACAAAATTTGCATTTATATTCTCAGGCTCGTTTTGTTTTTTTACACATGTACAGCTCTATGTAGAACATTTTCCACATTGAGCTGTTTTGATTCTGTTAAAGTTGTTGGTGAAAAAATGACTGGAAATCATGTTACTAAAGCATTCCTGGTTCAAAAATGTTAATTTGTTGCAAATGTCTTGTGTGACTCTGCCTGTTGCTTTACTAAAATGTACTGTATTGGCAGTTGAAAATATGGACCTGATTTTAACTTTGTATAAGGAAGGGGTAATACATCTTTAATTAAGCTAAAATCTCAGTATTTTTTGAGAGATCAGGTGCTAAAGTGATGAGGTAGTTTCAGTCCTGAAAGAGTTAAACATGCAACTCTATGAGGCAAATATATATTTGCAAAGCAACAACAAATTCTATTCAATGGAAAACAGAATTCTAATGCAACAGATGGCCACTAGCAAATGCTGGTCACTTGGTTCAAATTGCCAAAGAACATGTGGGTTGCTGAAATTGCCAATAAGGCCTATGGTTAATAGACTTGAGCAAAAGAAGCAAAAACAGTAGCATGTACTGCATGGGTTTGAGTTTCATCATTGGTTCACTGCTGTTAGAAAACTCACCAGCAGCAATTGTTTGCCAGCCAAAATCAGGAAAGAAATTCAACCCTCACAAAAGCATTTCCAAGTTTGACATAACAGTGAAGAAAAGAAGTTTCCTAGAAATGATAGCTAAAATTGAACTAATTGGCTTGTGTTTTTGCAACACTCTTATGTTACAGAATCTCATAATATTTTGACGATAGTTACGAAATGTATTTTTTTTCAAGATCCAGATATTAATTTGCAGTGATCAATCTCCTAAGAAGAAGTGGTTAAAAGTCACATTAGAAGCCAGAAAGTTTTTTTTAAAAAATGAGTTTTCAGAATAAGATCACGGCCAAAATGATTGTTGTTAATTACTGGGATGAGTAATTGCGATTTAAAAAAATGATCGCAGCTGTGTTCCAGAATTCAGCCTCAGGACTTTTTCTTTTATCAAAGATGTATGTGAAAGTTGGCAATGACAAATATGAATACTTGCCCAGGATGTTTTTGTTATCCAAGGTTCTGCATTAAATTTTGTAATCTGGTTATTCATAAGAAGTATTTACCCACCGTTATCTAACCTTTTTCAAAAAAAATGCAAAAACTTTCTGTGAATGCAATATCACATAACTCTCTTTAGGCACATTAAATCTGATGGGAGACAAACTCATTTTCTACATGTTCAGCCACATGCATCACCCACCCAACCGTTAACATTACAACTGCAGGAAGGAAAATGTATTTACCTCAGGTTTGGGACATGTAATGAAGACTTGACATTTGATTAGTGAGACATGGGGATTTTAATCACTATTGTCATATGCATGGGCTTTGAAATTTTACATTACTGTTCTCCAGTGATCGTAGAACTGATAATGCTCCCAGTCAAATATCTATCACAGTGTACTGGACATTTAGCCTTCATATTCATAAACAATCTTGCTGACAATAAGAATTCCAAGACAAAATGCACAGAACATGTTTTAAATTAAGCCACACAAATACAACGAACTTTTTTTTTCAAAAATATGCAGACCAAATTTGCACAACCAATTTGTCCACTTGGATCATTTAGCAACCCAAGTGACTACTGAACAGAATGCTTGAATGAAGCTCAGCAGGAAGTTGAGGAAGAACACCTTCTCTTCTGATCAGCATTCTTTTTACAACCTTCCTGACTAAACATTGACTTGAACAAATTGTTTTTCCTGAACGTAACATGAAAGAAATAAATTCAAGCGGAATTCACAGAACTGAGACTTTCTTTTCAAAGCATTGGATGGGTAGGTTGCGGTAATTTGAAATTGTTGAAGTATCATTATATTTTGGAGACTGAATGCACCGCTGCTCTATTCAAGGGATTAAAGTAGCATTTGTTACTGGGTGTACATCATATCCTCAGCTAAATCTCCATTTGTTGTGAAAGTTTGCCTGCAGTAATTCTGAAGAACCTTCTTATCACTGCTGAGATGAATGTGGACAGATCTTTTCTTCTGTATGCTCTACAATGAAAAACAGATGCTTGCTGATTTAGGGTGTGCAGGTGGTGACAGAAACTCCATCGGTGCTGTGTGCATGCTGTTAGACAATGAACAGCTGTTTCCCTGCTCTAGCATCAGGTCCAAGTATAAGTCATGTTCTAGTACAAGCTCCCTGCCACAGAACAGTAAAATATCAAATAAAGGAGTTAAGTATCATTGCTTTCATGTCAGGCAGCATCTCTTTTTCATTTTTAAAATCAATTTTCCTAAACTTAAAATAGCTCACCATACAGATCTGGACTATCCAATAATGATGAATTGCCATGAATTCTACAGAACCTTTGCAAGGAAAGTGAAATTCTAAGACAGGATGCAATGTGTTTATTCTGTATTAACATTCTGAAATACTCATGTAAAAGGTCAGATGAAGTGGAGTTCAAGTTTGAGAACAGAGGCTCTGCAATTCAAGAGCAACGGTGTACAGGTATGAGACCCTCATGACTCAGAATTGAATTTTAATCGTGACTGAGTTGTCAAATGGGCTTCTCATAAGAAAAAAAAAGAAACTCTCCTTTCTGGTCAGGTTATTTTGTAAAAGGAGAAAAAATGTGATAAGAATTAATTTACTCTTCTGTGCTTTCAGGATTTATGCAACAATCTTCAGACGAAACAATCGAGATTAAGGATGAGAAGTGAAGGGAAGCAATGGGAAGGAGTGAAATAAAATAAAAGGTATAAAATCCTGTGAGAATCTTTTTGTCTGGTTTTAATGTTTGTATGACATATACCTGCCATTATAAATATTATTTGTAATCTGACGATTGGGCCATCAGATTACATCTTCAGTACCAGGGGGTTCAGTTTTCATCAGTGCTCAGCTGCATTAACTTGGCACAACTTATTTTGATTTAATGGAATATATCAACTTCTTTTTACAAAGTGAACCTCTTGCCGCCCCTCAACCCAAGTCTGTTTGAATGAGGGGAAGCTGCCAAGTCTGATCCAAGCTTGATCCACTTGGGTATGACAGTTTAAATGTGCCACAGAATTTATTAAGCTGCGAGAAAAAGTCTAAAAATATTGCTTACATAACTTCTGTTAGTACAGATTTGGTTATTTTTCAATCTAAAATATCAGCTCAAATTCCATCGTGAAGTATGACATTTAATTGTGAAACTCATTTTCAGTTTTTACATATCTGTGATTACTGCTGCAAATCAACCCAATGCAACTAAAAATGTAAAATTGAAAGTTAGGACTTTTCTTATGAGCAATTTCAGAGTTTTCCACAAAGGTTCAACTGAAAAATTGAGTTTTGCTTAAAAACTGTTTTCCAATTTGTCCATTCTATCCACACCAGCCAGAACCTATTGGCTTTCAGAACAGGTATTGATGTGTTTTTGTCATCTCCTGTGTTGAGTATTTTAATGACATCCGAGCTAACCTCCACACCTTTGGTCCCTATAACCCATCCTTTACCAGGTACCCATTATCCATAATGCATCTGTGCGCTACACTGGGAGGTTCATGGTCTACACCCAGTTATCCATTTGTTTGGCACCTCCAGCATGGAATATTCCAAATAATGCCTGGCTAACCTCCTATCTTTCATCCTTCACCCTCCAAAACATTGTTCATTATATTCTATATTGCATCAGGTTCTTCATAAACATCAACTTTGTCTGCTGGTCTACATTGGATTGTAGTTCCCAACTGCATCAAATTTAACATTCTCAATCTTCTGTTCAAGCTATTCATGGTCTCGCTCTCCCCATCTTTGTAACCTGCTCCAAACTGACAAACATCCAAGTAATATGCATCCCTCCATCTCTAGCCTCTTGTACACACCCCAACTCCTACTCTTCTTACCCACCAATACCAGCACTGGCCTTTCACTTAAGATTTTGAATTCCTTCCATTGACCAAGATTTTAATCATCTCTCCTGAAAGCTCCCTCTTTGGTCAATTCTTATCTGAATACATCTCTGGAAAGCATCTTAGGACAATTTTTCATTAATCAAGCTATCTAAATGCAGGGTGTTAGTGTTGTTGTTATCATTTATTAACTTTGATGACTTGGTAAATACATTTTTTAAAGTATTTTCCTCACGGCATTGTTGGCAGGTTAAAACTGTCCTGAGCAGTTTACCAGTCACATAAATTTGATTTTGCTACTTTCCAAGCTTATGGCATATGTTTCTGATAATTCTTGCAAAAGAAAAAGAGGTTTACAGTTTAACCTCAAGAATATAATACAGCACAAAACTACACTACAAAATTATACAGAAACTGATTACAGGGCATTAAGTTATTGAAAAATGGGACAATTGAATAGAAAATGCCTCACTTACCTTTAATCTGAAGTGGCAGCTATATTCACATAGGCTAATTCAACATAAGTTAACAGTCAGAATGTAGATAAAAGAAGTCCTCCCTGTCATGCTGTGGCTCACTAAATAAAATGGATCATATTTCATTTCCACACTATCCTCATTTTGCACCAAGCTTTGTTTGCTAGCAACATGCACATGTGCATGCATATATGATCATATATATTTAATGTAATAAAGTAAATATATCTTACCTTAGTAAATGAACTGCATACTTGTTTTAGGACTGTTTGGCTAGTTGGCAAACACCACTGAGTTTAATAGCTGAGCTTTGCACTGAAAGGTTGTTGAGAGGGGTGTTCCACTTCCCTATCATAAAAAGAAAAATGCATAAAGATATGATGTAAAGTGAAAAGCAACAAATTCTCCAAATCACAGCTATATTCAGAGGTCAAGGAAATTCAACTGAAAAGGTTAAAGATGAAATAAAATCTAGCAAGTGAGAATGAAAATCTATCCTGAAGCAAGGCCACTGGTGACGTGTTCTAGACAAGAAGCTAAATACTGCATAGCACTGGGATCTTTCATTTTCATCAAATCAATAAAAGCTTATATTTATCAGGATTCCAGGCAGCTGCCATTTCTGACAACCTCCACTTTATTCCCCACTTCTCATGTTAAATCAGGCTAAAGACTATAAAAGAAGCAACCTTCTATGCTACTTACACCTGAAGAAACAATTCCATTAAGAGCATTCTTTTTTTATATAGTAGAAACAGGGTCTGATATCAATATATTAGCAAGATCTTTTAAATCTCTTTGTTCTTCTACCCATGCTGCAACCGAATGCCACCCAAAAACTAGCAAGGGGATTTTTAGACAAAAGTGAAAGTAGTTTTATTTTCCAGTCATACTCTAGTAAAAAGGAAAAGCTTGCTGCTAAAACAGTGGCCATTCTAATCATCCTTACAACAATATTTGCTATCAGGCATTCTAAATAGATTATCAGCAGTCCATCTGTGTCATTATTGATTTATAAGGCTTTAAGCTGCTTTAGAATGGAAGCTTTCCCACTAAGGGGCTTCTTGTACAAATCAGAGCCACACTCAGATTCAGCAGTCTTTGCTCAAGCTGCAAAAAGATTGTACTTGAAATACAGGCATGCAGACCACAAATTTATTCCTATTCTTTTCCCAATGATATCAAAGTGGATGCACAAGTCATCCACATCCAAGTTATTTACATAAATATGTTACTAGTGTATAAAACAGGCATCATTAACATATGAATACCATATGCAAATTATAAAGGCAGAGCAGATGTTAGTGCATGTAATTGACCTATATGTGAATTGCTTCTGAACTCCATACTGTATTAATACTCCACACAGTAACTAGATATAGCCTAAAAAGTGCATCTCTGAAACACTACACTGGAAATGAACCTGACAGGGTCCCAAAGATGTTAAAACAAGGTCACTGTCACCACTGTATTTCGCTGTCATCTGCATTCTGTTTCTTATAGATGACATCATCATGTGGCTGTGTAAATCGATAACTTAATAGCATTTGGAAAATGCTGCAGTCTGGAGCAGGTTATAAAGAATGTCCCAGTTTTATTCCTTTTGTAGCTAAAATGTCATATGTCTTAAACTGAGGTTCTTGCATGAATGCACAGTGAAAAACAGATGCCTTTTTTTAACTCTCAGGCTTTATTTTTCACTTCTTCTCAGAATAACATTAAATTGTAGTAAATAGCCTTTTGTCAAGAGGCCAGGGACCACCCTGTATATGATAATGCATTAGTGACCAGCTTTCCAGCTCCTGAACAGAAACATTCACAGACTTAAGAGATAGATACGAAGCAGTATTGTGTACAGCCGGTGAACAAATGCAGCACATACTAATAGAAGCGCACATAATAAATGATTGTGTTGGGGTCTAACAAGGGTCTAATAGGCAGTCCGTCTGTGAAAAGATCAGCTTTTATATATGTGATACAAAACAAAATTACACTATGTGTTACCATTGTATTTTTCACATAAATAAAAATCCTTGCATTTAAACTTATTTTCTCATGTCAGAATGTCTAAATTCTTGGATAAATCATGTTAGGTTCTATGACTCTCACTATTCAGAGCATGATTTGCCACAGTATTCACAGGCTTTAAGACCTTTTGCTTTAAATGAATTGAGGAGCTGGCCAATCTATAGACATGGTTTTAAACCACCAACCCCGCCTACCCTCCCACTGCTTCTCTTTCTTCTTAGTAATTTCAGCATCTTCCTCACCTGCATTCTAAAATTAACAAGATCGATTGCAGTCAATGGATTAGAATTCGAGGTAGAAATCTATTAAAGTATTAATGCTCTTAGTTTGGTAAGCTTCACATATTTCAAGTGCAATCTGTTCAGTTTTATTCACGACCAATAAATCAGCAAACACTCAGAAAATTAAAATATGAAGTATATTTGTCTTAAACAAGTTTCCCATGTTTCTAAAGTGATGTTTGTTTCTATGGTTTTGTTATTCATTCAATCTGTATTGATTAATGCAGTATTGTGCTGCAATATCCTTCAGGAATGCAACTAACATCTTCTGTAACTTCATCTGCTGTCTGTTTTCAACAGTAAAAGCCACAATGTTGTCCAGTAGCTACAATATTAGCTCCTTAAGCTCTCAAACAAGAAATCCAAGCTACAATCCTAGTGTCAAGCAATACGTTTGACGAGTGGTATTATCTAGGTTCACTTTATCACAATTTTTGACGGGTGACTTAAATCCATCACAGCATTTCTAAGTCAAAAATCACACAACACCAGATTACGGTCCAACAGGTTTATTTGAAATCACAAGCTTTTGGAATGCAGTCCCTTCATCAGGTGGAAAATGAGGCGAACACACAGACACAGAGCTTATAGGCAGAGGGATGAAGGGCAGAGTGATCAAAGGATCATACAACTAGTGTGAGTGGAGTGAATAAACCCATGAAAATGGCCTCAACTGTGATCTTGAGTTCATGTCACGCTACAGATGACCCCACCACACTGTTGTGTATCTGTAAAATCTTTCTTACTGTCCTGTTTTGACAGCATCATCTTGACAGCATTATTATGATCTCTCTACCTTAATTAGTTTGTACAGTTTTTGACTACTTATTACACTCTCTCACACACACATGGTCTCTCACACACTCTCTCACACACAATCACACACACATGGTCTCTCACACAATCACACACACTCTCTCACACACATGGTCTCTCACACGATCACACACACTCTTTCACACACAATCACACACACATGGTCTCTCACACAATCACAGTCACACACACTCTCACACACAATCGCACACACTCTCTCACACACACAATCACACACGCTCTCTCACACACACAATCACACATTCTCACACACACAGTCACACATGCTCTCTCACACACACAATCACACACGCTCTCTCATACACACAATCACACACATTCTCACACACACAGTCACACACACTCTCTCACACGCACCAAAAGCTTGTTATTTCAAATAAAACTGTTTAACTATAACCTGGTGGCATGTGATTTTTGAATCTGTCCACCCCAGTCCGACACCAACATCTCCACACCATAACATTTCTAAAGCAGAAAGTGCAACTTGAACTGTGATCTTTTTCTCTATAGATCAAATGTGGCTTCTGGATTCTATCCATACAGAACTAGCACCTATCTGTGTAATTATCCAAGAGCTATGACATTTCACCAAGCTGTCCTTGCCAATGTTGAAGGTAACAGAGTGTGGATGAAAATTGGAGAAAAGTATAAACTAAAATGCGTAAAATAAAGCTACAGCAGTTTGTAAAAACCAAAAACAATTTAGAACAGAGTAATAATATTTCAAGCACAAATGGATAAATATTTATGATATGCCAATTTGTTCTTTTTATGGTATATCTATGAAGAATGCAGAATTGGGGGGGAGGGTCATTCAATTTACAAGCCTATTCTCCCAGGCACCAAATTGATTTTGCCTGCCTTGTGTTTTTTTTTAAGTACAGACAGGCTGCCAGCAACCTTCACACTTTTTGTTTGCAGCTTGCTTAATGGCTGAGAGTATTGGATGTCACTAATATCAATAAATCATAATGTGCACCTCTTGTAAGGGAAGGTGCACTATGGCTGCAACCAACAATGACAAATGGCAAGCAGAGGAGAAGCACATGTGCTAAAATAAAGGCAAGCAAGTCCGGAATGGAGGGATTGTTTGCATTCTAGCCCTACTGCAGAGGATACAGATGAAGGGTTCAGCCTACAGAAGAAAACTGATGGTTATAATTTAGGATGTTTTAAGTACACTGGACTGTCTGTTAGTGAGCTATGCCTTGCACACATTGGCGGAGGGCATGGGGCCATCAGGTTCAAACTTGTGTGAGAACTTTGCACAAAGCTTTATGACTGTACAATCATCATGGAACAAGTAGTCAGCTCTATGAATACTGCAGAGCAGCCCAGAGTGATGGAATCTCTGGTGGCACCTCTGACAGCTCCAATGAAAATTCAGATCTCTGTCAACTGATATAATCATATCACTCCTGTGCTCTGTACTTAAAGAGTACTGAGAGTCAGACACATGAGCATCGTAGTGGTGCCCTGGGCGAGGTAACGCCTGATCAAAGTACTTTTCTTGGTTCTAGGAATCCAACTGGCCCAAAATGCCTGGCTCCCACCAAGATTCAGCTGTCCACAGCTGGGCTTTCTATGAATAGGGTTCCTTTGGATCACTGTCAGGTCCATTGCAAATGACTTCATTACAAATTCAGTAACTCACAAGCAGAAGGCACTGGAAATCATCTCAGAGGAACAACAAAAATAGAAACCAGGATGCCAATGGTTATTTTTTAGCTCTCAATTATTAAATCTTTAGATTGCAGCATGATGCATTTGTGCCTGATGAAGCTGATTGAATTCTTGAAGAACATATAACATAGAACAGTACAGCAAATGATGTCATTCTAAATTAATCCCATCTGTCTACACGTGGCCTGTATCTCTCTATTCCTTGCTTGTTCAAGTGTCTGTCTAAATGTCTTTTAAACATCATTATTGCATCTGCTAATGGTTGCTGAAGTAGCTGAAAGGAGAATATCTATGAGTGTTATTTATATAGAGTTTTAGAAGGCATTTGATAAAATCACTCTTAGCCAAAGTTAAAGCCCATGGACAACTTATTGGCTGATCAGTAAATTGACTAAGGACCAGAAGATAAGGCAGAGTAAAGGGATAATGGACATGATGTGGCTTTGCTGTTCTCCAAGGAAACATGTTACAATTATTCATTATACATATTAACAGTTTAGATGATGGAATAGAAAGTCA